GTGCTGGGGGGCTTCCTCAGTGCCCCCACTTAACCTGGTTATTATTAATCTGCTTTGGTGATAGCACTTTTAGTTTGTTGGCTTTTATCATAAATAAGTGTTTAAATTTACTAATTTAAAGTGGTTTATTTATAATTCCACCCCCATGGAATCATGCCTAGATACCTCTTCTCCACCCCAAGAGAATAGAATACTCATATACATATGTGTCTGTACATATACACACATACATACGTGTGTGTCTGTATATATATACATATATAATTTTTATGTTTAATCCATCAGAATTTATCTTTATATATGATATGAAGTATCTTCAAAATAAGCTCTTCTTTCTTTATAAATATAAAGTGCTACCTTCACTAGAAAATAACTCAGAGATACTTAAAATTATTAGAGCCTTGACTTTTTAATTGAACTAAGCAGAAAAAAAAAGCAAAGGCCCCCAAATGAAATAATTTGGTCTACCTTTCATCACAATCAGAATTGAACTGGTTATTCAAGTATTTCAAATGTTAATATATAAGCAAGTCCAGTATCTCAAAACCAAATACATAAGCTAATTTAGAAATGCAGTGAATTGGATTCAGCAGGACATGGAATTTGCATTTCAATTAGTTGATAATAATTCTAAGTGGTGCTCTGTGCATGGGCAGGGTCTGGCCCACGGACAACGGGGCCATTAGGCCCAGGATATGACCTTTCTGACTGGGGACACAAGGCCGAGAACCCATACACCAGGGCACAAGACAGGTGGGAGGCGATTTCTGCTTATCTGTGTTTTTGAGAGTGAAAGACTTTCTATTATCATGCACAGTTTTAGAGAACACAGCAGGGTATAAGGGAAAGTACTTATATGTATAGTTAGGATGTGCATACTAAGTGATGAATGAGAAAATGGATTTTTTCTCAGTTTTATAGCAGGAAGATAAAGCAGTTTATAACAGAATAATTTGGCATTATTCCAAGAGGGGGAACATTCTGAAGTAGAGTTACTGCAGTCTTTGCAGAAGGAGGGCTCTGTTCTGTGGTTCAGAAGGAGGGTGGATAACAGCCACTAAAGACCCAAACTTCTTCCAGTCCCACATCAGGCAGAGTCAAAAAAGCACTGTGGACACAGTCCATCTCACAGGACGGCAGAGTGAACGGAGGAACCACTGTCCATCTCACGGGACGGCAGAGCGAAGGGAGGGACCACTGACCATCTCACGGGACGGCAGAGCGAATGGAGGGACCACTGACCATCTCACGGGACGGCAGAGCGAACAGAGGGACCACTGACCATCTCACAGGACGGCAGAGCAAAGGGAGGGACCACTGACCATCTCATGGGATGGCAGAGCGAACGGAGGGACCACTGACCATCTCACAGGACAACAGAGCGAACGGAGGGACCACTGTCCATCTCACAGGACGGCAGAGCAAAGGGAGGGACCACTGACCATCTCACGGGACTGCAGAGCGAACGGAGGGACCACTGACCATCTCACAGGACGGCAGAGCGAACAGAGGGACCACTGACCATCTCACGGGATGGCAGAGCGAACGGAGGGACCAGGACTGCAGAGTGAACGGAGGGGCCACTGACCATCTCACAGGACGGCAGAGCGAACGGAGGGACCACTGACCATCTCACGGGACAACAGAGCGAACCGAGGGACCACTGTCCATCTCACGGGACGGCAGAGCGAATGGAGGGACCGCTGTCCGTCTCACGGGACGGCAGAGGGAACGGAGGGACCGCTGACCGTCTCACGGGACGGCAGAGCGAACGGAGGGACCGCTGACCATCTCACGGGACGGCAGAGCGAACGGAGGGACTGCTGACCGTCTCACGGGACGGCAGAGCGAACGGAGGGACCGCTGACCGTCTCACGGGACGGCAGAGTGAACGGAGGGACCGCTGACCATCTCACGGGATGGCAGAGCGAACGAGGGGCCGCTGACCATCTCACGGGACGGCAGAGTGAACGGAGGGACCGCTGACCATCTCATGGGATGGCAGAGCGAACGAGGGGCCACTGACCATCTCACGGGACGGCAGAGTGAACGGAGGGACCACTGACCATCTCACGGGACGGCAGAGTGAACGGAGGGGCCCAGAACTTCCCGGGGCCTTTGTGTGCCTGATCATTTCAGATAAGAACCGGAGCCCACACCCAGCAAATTAAAACCAAGTACAATTAGAAGTCCATCTTCCCATCATATTTGCATTCTTAATATTGCTCAGGTGACTAGAAGTTGCTCCTGCACACCAAAAGGAGAATAAAAGCCTCACGGAGATAAGCGAGCATTCGTTCTCATTTTTATCTGAATCGCTCAGCTACTTCAAAGATTTTTTCAATCAGCTCCTGCTGGGAAGTTCTTTGGTGCAAAAAAGAGAAAAACACTCAGTGCACTGTATCCAATTACTTTGAATTCTGTTTAAAATACAATTATAGAATCACCAATTTTGTTTGAAGCAGCCTTTGGGTATAAAATAAATGCAGGATAAGGGTGGTCTGTTTATGTAATTTACCGGCAAATGTTGTCAGAGTAAGTTAATGCAGACTTCTGCACCTTGCCGCCGGCAGCTGTGAGCATCTGCAGTGGTGCCAATGGCACCTCGGAGGCACCGGGTGGCGTCTCAGGACCCGAGGAGCCAAGGGCAGGTTGAGGAGGAAGGTCAGTGCTGTCTGCGCTGAGTGCCACCCACTGCCCAGCAGGCCATGTGTGCCCCGGGGGAGTCCCAGGCTGCTGCCCTTCCTTGGTCCTGCAGCCTCCTCTCACCTGTTCCTGCTGCAGAAACTCTTCAGTTCTGCAGGCTCCTCTCACCCCGCCGGCCTTGGGCGCTCTTGACACCCGTCCCTGCTCCCGGAACCCCTGGCCCAGGCTGCTCCCGACACTGTCCCTGCTGCAGGGACACCAGGCTGCAGCCTCCAGCACGGCTGCCTTTCGGCATCCATCTCTCCTCATAAGCTTCTCATTGGATGTCCCGCGGAATTTACTTGCTTTAATTTTTTTTTTTTCTTTTTTTTTTGAGATGCAGTCTTGCTCTGTCACCCAGGCTGGAGTGCAATGGCACAATCTTGGCTCACCACAACCTCCACCTCCTGGATTCATGTGATTTTCCTGCCGCGGCCTCCTGAATCACTGGGATTACAGGTGTGTGTCACCACGCAAGCTAATGTTTGTATTTTTAGTAGAGATGGGGTCATAATAAAATGGAAATGCCAACTAACTGTTGAATAAACACTCTTGCTGGATGGATACTGAGGCTCTGGTGGGAAGGCCACACCTGACTCATCACCGAGGGAAGTTTCTGCTGCCTCTGGGCATAGGGGGCAGTGTGGTTTAGCTGCATAAAACCGAGAGACCTAGAGTTGACTTCTGGTAGCTTCATGACGCACTGAGGCATGGCTCTTCATGTTCAAGGCTTGGGTCACGACACCTGCTTCAGCAGGTATGCTGACAGCTGCATTTACACACAGCAGCACAGAGCGGCCAGGAGCTGGGATGGTTACTGCTCCTGGTATACCAGAAGTCTTGTGACTAGTGCCAGCGCTATGCCTAGTTCATCACTCTCCTGTCTCACGTTACCCCCTTGTATGCTAGAATCTGGCGATGCAGAAACTTTCCATTTTCTGATCGCACCTGAGTGATCCCACAGAGTCGGTGTTCAATATGAAGCAGTGTTGTTATAAAATCTGATTTCCCTCTTCAGGAGCCTGGTCCTGCTCTGTACAGGGGTGAGGCTCTCCTGTGCACTGCTTACCCTAATGTTCTAGGGCAGACCCCTCAGTGTACACGCAGGTCTGAAGGGAGACAAGCCCAGAGCTACCAGAATGGGTTAGGAGTCCTGTCTCACACATTTAGAGAACACTTCACTTGACACTTGTAAGTTAAACCTGTGCCACCTATGACTACTCACTAACGTGCCCTGGCTCTGTTAGATTCTAGGGGGTAGGCTCCCGCTTTTGGTGAAGGGCCAGATGTGACTGTTCCAGAGTGTGCCAGCTGTCAGGGTGCCGCACACCTGCTCAGCCCTGCCTGAATCTGGGAGGCAGCCACAGCAATATGGCAACCAGAGAGCGGGCTGCTTTCCAATAAAACTTTATACACAGAACAGGCCCTTGGCTGGCCCTTGCTTGCCTCCATCTGGACTGAAAGCTCCATTCCCTGGTGTTATCCCATGGAAAGGAATGACAGAGGGATGATGTCACGGCCCGGGGCTCCCTGTCTGACTTGTGGGTCATAATTAATAATGCTTATGCGATACTGGCCAAGATTGAGAAGCTGTTACACCCTGGCCATCCACGTGCACAGGACCTCACAGCCAGCCGTGGGCAGCAGGGGAGCTTCCAGGTGGTTCTTGACATTTCCACCCAGATAACCTGTGGGACTCAGGATACACAGCAGCATGGCTGTTGTAACAGTCATATTTTCATAGTTCGTAGGAATGGCTGATTTCCCAAGAGTTTTATCTGTCTATATTTTGGAAATTGTCAAATTTATTAACAATACATTTTGAACAAATATGTAAAGTGTAGGGTGTTCTATTTATAAAGCTAGTCCACTTCCTCACTCCTCTACAAAAACGTGTTGCCTAGAAATGCAGTTATAAAGTTACAGTCAACAACAAAATTCCCGTTAATGATTTTTACCCACAAAGACCTTCAAACACACAGCCACGCACACACATTCATGCAGATGGAGACCCACGCTCGTCCTTGGAGTAATTCGAATGATCAGAAAGGTACGATGGCTCAGTCTGGCTTTAAAGTTTGAAGCGGAAGTCACCCAGCCAGACGTCACCGATTACCATGTAATTAATAAGTGACCAAAGCTCTGGTTGTTCTAAAAAAAAAAACAAACTTGAAAACTGATGGCCATGGGGTCTAGTATTTTCAGCTCGGGAATGCAGTTTGCATGGGTGGCACTAGCTCACGGTGAAGCGGTTTTGGAGAGGGAGCTCGGAGACGGGGCAGTGCTTGGATCGGGAAGGCGCTGGTCCCACTTACGTCTGGTGCTCTCCGAGCGGTCTCTGCCCGATGGACTTCAGCAGTGGCTCCGGTCGGATCGCCGACTTTGGTGACGTCTTGGGGCTGGAGTCTGACTCTCCACTCTCCTCGTCCCCCATGGCTTTAATGTAGCTCCCACTTCTCATTCTCCTGCAGGGAATCTCCTCATCTTTGCCACCGGTGGGGTACCCTCCCCACTCATCCTGAGGCACCTAGGAGCAGACAGACATGGACATGCGTCAACGTTCTCATGGAGAACAGTGGCACCAGTTTCCTTTCGGAAACAAATCCTCTCCAATTCCATAAAGACATAGATCTCTACAGTCATTTATCATTTAAAGTCAGATGTATGACAACGCACACCCTGAAATGATGTGAAGATGACACTGCTGGTTTTCTTCATTATAAACGTGGCAGGGAAACATCATGGATGAAGTGAGAACGTGAGAAAAGCAAGAAAGGACACCTGCAATCTCAGCGGCTGGGACGAGCCCCTGGCTACAATTCAGTTTCATTTCCCTCTGGCGTAAGAGGAAATTGAAGCTTGAGAAACTGAACAGAGAAGAAGAAAAGGAAGAAAAATAGGAAAACAAGGGAGAAAATGCCTATCTTAGTGTCCATTTATACCTCAATTGCAAGGAAATAAAGCAGTGTGGTTTTAACTCCAGAAGCCGAGTTATGCCACACATGCAAGATCTCCGTGCTCATAGCTGGAAAAGGATCTGCACAGCCATGTCATAGGCCACCTGACATACAGCCGAGCACCCGTGCATGGTATAGATCTGCCTGGTGCAGAACTCAGCACCCGTTCATGGTATATACCTGCCTGGTGCAGAACCCGGCACCCGTGCATGGTATGTACATGCCTGGTGCAGAACTCAGCACCCGTGCATGTTATATATCTGTGTGGTGCAGAACCCAGCACTTGTGCATGGTATATATCTGCCTGGTGCAGAATCCAGCACCCATGCCTGTTGTACATCTGTGCTGTGCAGAGCTGAGCACCCATGCATGTTATATATCTGCCTGGTGTATAACTCAGCACTTATGCATGCTATATATCTGTGAGGTACAGAGCTAAGCACCCATGCATGGTATATATCTGCCTGGTGTATAACTCAGCACTTATGCATGCTATAAATCTGTGTGGCACAGAGCTAAGCACCCATGCATGTTATATATCTGCCTGGTGTATTGCTATATATCTGTGAGGTACAGAGCTAAGCACCCATGCATATCATGTATCTGCCTGGTGTATAACTCAGCACTTGTGCATGCTATATATCTGTGTGGCACAGAGCTAAGCACCTATGCATGTTATATATCTGCCTGGTGTATAACTCAGCACTTGTGCATGCTATATATCTGTGTGGCACAGAGCTAAGCACCCATGCATGGTATATATCTGCCTGGTGTATAACTCAGCACTTATGCATGCTATAAATCTGTGAGGTACAGAGCTAAGCACCCATGCATGTTATATATCTGCCTGGTGTATAACTCAGCACTTATGCATGCTATATATCTGTGAGGCACAGAGCTGAGCACCCATGCATGTTATATATCTGCCTGGTGTATAACTCTGCACTTGTGCATGCTATATATCTGTGTGGCACAGAGCTAAGCACCCATGCATGTTATATATCTGCCTGGTGTACAACTCAGCACTTGTGCATGCTATATATCTGTGAGGCACAGAGCTGAGCACCCATGCATGTTATATATCTGCCTGGTGTACAACTCAGCACTTATGCATGCTATATATCTGTGAGGTACAGAGCTAAGCACCCATGCATGTTATATATCTGCCTGGTGTACAACTCAGCACTTGTGCATGCTATATATCTGTATGGCACAGAGCTAAGCACCCATGCATATCATGTATCTGCCTGGTGTATAACTCAGCACTTATGCATGCTATATATCTGTGTGGCACAGAGCTAAGCACCCATGCATATCATGTATCTGCCTGGTGTATAACTCAGCACTTATGCATGCTATATATCTGTGAGGCACAGAGCTGAGCACCCATGCATGTGATATGTCTGACTGGTGCAGACCTGAGCAACTGTGCATGTTATATATATGTGTGGTGCAGAACTCAACAACATGCATGTTATATATCTGCATGGTAGCAAACTGAGCAACTGTGCATGTTATGTAGCTGCCTGGCACAGAACTGGGCCAACGCACATGCTATATATCTGCCTTGTACAGAGCTGAGAACGTACATACAATATGTCCACGTGGTTCAGAGCTGAGCATGCACACATGTAACACACCTGCCTGGTACACAGTAGGGCACCAGTGCATATACATGTCTTCCATGTTCAGAGCGTATTTTATACCTGCCTGGCCTGGGGCTGAGCCTTCTCTGTGCTGTGTATCTGACTGGTCCAGAACTGAACACACGTGCATTCTGTGTCACCCACAACCGCCCCACAGGCTGCCTGCTGTGTGTGTGTGTGTTTAATGTCTCTCTGAGGGGAGGGTAAACCATGAAGACGAGAATGTGGGCCAATATTCTTCTTCCATCACCATCTGTGACACTGGAAACCCAGCTCTGCAATGAACAAAGAGTCACGGAACCTGAACACAATGGTTTGTGCTGCGGGAGCTGCTCCGTGCAGCTCAGGACATGGGTTCTTTTCCGCATGGTTCATTAGCTTTGAACAGCTCCCCAGAGGCTCTGGATAAAGTTGACTCCATAGGAAAAATTCACATTTACAAAGGCAAAAGAACACAGCATGCGATCGCTGAGGGTAGACAACGCCAAAGTATTCCATAGCAACTATATCATTTCCCGCAGTCTGTAGTCAAGGAAGGAACTAACGCAGAATGTTCTTCATGCTGGAGAAGAGAATCTCCCCAAATGCTGTTTACAGAGAAAGAAAATAAAAAATTTCCATATTTAAAGTCTTCAGATGGGGTATTTTTCCTCCCACTGTAAAATATTTAGATACTGAGGTAAATTCTTTATGTCATCATAAAAGGAACCTTCTATCTTTCCAGTGTCCATATTGGCTGGGAGCCAGCTGATAGTGCTAACAGCAGGGACCATGTGGCGGCTGGTAAAGGCCACCGCGTTAATTCCTAGACGGCGCGAAGGCCCGAAGGCCAAAGGCCCCCGCGTTCATTCCTAGACGGCGCGAAGGCCCGAAGGCCCCCGCGTTCATTCCTAGACGGCGCGAAGGCCCGAAGGCCCCCGCGTTCATTCCTAAACGGCGCGAAGGCCCGGCAGATCCACCATCTTCCACACTGCAGCCAGGACAGGAGCCAGGGGAGAGGGAAAGCCGTGCTCGTTTCTGTCACTCATACATCCTGCACTTCCAGTCTGAGGAGCAGGAGCTCTGCTCACCATGGACCTCGTGTGGCAAAAGGGGTCCCAAACACCACCCAGCCCTGAAGCAGCAAGGCTCAGACACCCAAACACCACCCAGCCCTGAAGCAGCAAGGCGCAGACACCCCAACACCACACAGTCCTGCAGCACAGAGGCGCAGACACCTGAACACCACACAGTTGCACGGCAGAGAGGTGCAGACACCCCAACACCACACAGTTGCATGGCAGAGAGGTGCAGACACCCCAACACCTCACAGTCCCACAGCAGAGAGGTGCAGACACCCCAACACCACACAGTCCTGCAGCAGAGAGGCACAGACACCCCAATACCACACAGTTCCACGGCAGAGAGGTGCAGAGATCCAAACACCACCCAGCCCCGCAGGCTCTTGTGGGTAAGGGTGCAGGTGGATCACAGCTGTAGCACCCCCAAGGCAGCCCAGACACACGGCATCTCACGGTGACACCCCAGCAGCACGCACAGTGTAAGGAAGAGAGGACTGGACAGGATGGAAAGTTCCAGGTTCTCCTTCCATCCTGAATCCAAAAGGCCTGGAGGCTCAGGAAGAGGATCCCGACCTGCAACTGTGAGCTGGACAGGAGGTGTTTGCAGTCCTCTCCAGCTGGGTTCTTCTAAAGCCTTCATGACCTGGTGCCTTGTGCCCAGGTGTGCACGGGTTCACAGAGGCATACGGACCATGTTGAGAGGGCATTGGGAGTATTGTATTCATCTGTTCTCATGCTGCTAATAAAGACATACCCGAGACTGGGTAATTTATAAAGGAAAGAGGTTTAATGCACTCACAGTTTCACATGGCTGGGAGGCCTCATAATCGTGGCAGAAGGTGAATAAGGAGCAAAGCCATGTCTTCCACGGTGGCAGGCAAGACGGCGTGTGCAGGAGAACTACCCTTTATAAAACCACCAGCTCTCATGAGACTTCACTACTGCGAAAACAGCATGGGAAAGACCCACCCCCATGATTCAATCACTGCCCACTGGAGCTCTCTCATGACATATGGGGACTATGGGAGCTGCAATTCAAGATGAAATTTCGGTGGGGACACAAACCATATCAGGTATCAATGACTTGGTCAAGGTGAAAGTCCCACAGATGACACTGCAGAGCTGCGGAAGCTGTCGGTGGGTAGGAGAGAGGCCTGCGGCCTCAGCCAGAGCAGATTCTCTCAGCAAGAAATCACCAATTAAGGAAATAGGTGTAAATTTGCCCATGTTTTGTCAAATTTTGTCCACGTGAATTTTGGTTTCACATTTCCTGACAGTGAGGAATTTGAGCACTGAAAAAAGTGACTCACGAAGAATCAAGAATTCCCATCTTTGGGCATTTGACAGTTGTTATCTTCGTGTCTTCAAACCAGGTGGTGGGCAGTGAAGCGTCCAGTCTTTCTGGAGATTCCTGGAGGCCTTCGGACTGGTCACGTCCTGAGACTGGGCAACTTTCTTTCCATGAAGGTTCCCCAAGACGGTGCGAGCCAGGGCCAGGGACTGGGGAGTTCTTCATTAGGAGAAACGATGACAACGTGCTGTCACAGGGGATGGCTTACCATACCTATTACAACCACAGGATGCCCACCCCACTACCCAAAATCCCATTGCAGAGTACGTATTTAGCTGTGGAAAGACATTCATGACGGGGAAAAGCAATTTTTACAGCACAGCGTCCACCCGATGTTTTTACGCTTTTTAGAGATGTAACTGTGTTTTGTGCAGAAACGGCCAGAAGATGTGAAACAGGGGCTATCGCCAGGAGATGGGGGCTACAGGCTTTTCAATGATTTTTCTTTATACTTTCCAAATTGTGTACATGAACCCTATATGATTTTTGTAATAAACACCCTTATTTTTAAT